GGCAATGAAACTCGTCCTTCCCTCGTCCTTCACCTAATCAGGGATCCTCATCCCCCCTCGATCATCAGCGGTGGCCGCCGCGGTGGAATAGTTATTTTTGTATCGCGGTCACAGAGCTCCCGACCCCTGCCCCGAGGGATGGTTTTACGCCCTGGGCCCATCTTTGATGGTCCTGGGGGTCCGGTAGCAAGCCCCCAGAGGCCGAAATCGAGGGAGCACGCCAGGATCTGGAAAATCAGATCGCCTAAAATCTAGGTGCGGTAGGTTCGCGCTGAGACAACCCTGGCGCTGGCTTCTGATACCACGTGGACCGTTCGACCTTGAACGATCGGCGGTGTCTCCATCACTAGACCACCCCATTCTGGCCGACTCCGAGCCACTGGTGGCGTTCACTTTGGAACGACCGCGGCGGGGTCGCTGCCGCACCGGCACGACAAGAATCTGCCGTACTTCAAGTTTCTTAATAAGCGTCGGGGGGGCGTCACCCCCGCCGACAGCCCCACGTTGACCCCCGTCGCGGGCAGCCACCGCGCGCCGAAGGCGCTCCGACCCCCGTCGCGGCGCGACGGCGAGGCGAGGTTGACCTCCGTCGGGGGAGTTGATATCCTCCTCCTCCTCCTCCTCCTCCTCCTCCTCCTCCTCCTCCTCCTCCTCCTCCTCCTCCTCCTCCTCCTCCTCCTCCTCCTCCTCCTCCTCCTCCTCCTCCTCCAGTCGCGGCGCGACGACGAGGCGAGGTTGATCAGAGCAGGCAGCGGCACTCCCAAAGCCCCGCGGCGCGCGGCGCGCGCGGCAGAGCCCCCGCGGCGCGCCCCCGCGCCGAAACCCCTCCAGGGAGGGGAGCGCAGCGCTCGCGGGCCCCAGCCGAGGGGCGCGGCGCGGCGGAGCGGCAGCTGGCCGCGCCCCCGCTGGCGTGCGACGCCCCCGCGACGAAGATTAGGTCGGGCGTGTCCTCCCACAGGCGGATGTTGGAAGAAAAACGAGAAATATCTGTTTTGAAAAAATGAAAAATGATCCCCTGACTTTTTATGTTTTTTTATATATATATATTCTTTTTTTTTTGTTTTAAAAAAAAAAAAAAAAAAAAAAAAAAAAAAAAAAAAAAAAAAAAAAAAAAAAAAAAAAAAAAAAAAAAAACTACTTTTGAACATTCCTCCTGTAGGGGGACATGCCCGACTTAAGACGAAGAGGAACAGGGCCTCACGCGAGATGGCACACGGCCATGGTGACGCCACATGGAGCGCCAAACACGGGACGGAGCGGCCTTTTTTCTGGCCTTGGCGACCCTCTTCCCCCGGAGAGGTTCCCCGCCCTGGATCCAAGGAGCGACGGGAAGAGCAGAGCCCTTCCTGGGACCAAAGTGGTCCGTATCTCGGCGACTTGACAATTGCGGCCCTACTCTGGACGGGTGTTTGTTTGTACCAAGGGGAGGGTGATTAACCTTCTGATTGAGCCTGCCCAATCCCGAAACCCTCCATCCGCCTCCCCCTCCTCATCCTCCTCCTCTTCCTCCAAGCCCCCCTCCACCCATTCCGACAGCACGTGCCCAACCCCCCCCCCAGCGGATCCAAGGGCGGGGCGATCATTGCCCCATCCAGAGTATACTAGATGGCTCCTCGGGCGGGGTCCCATGGCGGCCTCCCCGACCGCTGTGGCCTCTGCGAGGTCTGACTCAAGGCGGCCGAGCGCCCTCAGGACGTCGGCGACACAAACAAACGGGTCTGGCGCGAGGTAACATGGCGGGCTTACGCCGCGGCTTGCGCGGGCCGCCAACGCGACACGCCACATTGGAAACGAGGGCGCTCACGCGCAACCCTACGCGGGCAGCTAGCGCCAACGTCGGTGAAGAGGACCCCTCTGTCTGCCGTCGCTCATCTGGCGCTGGCGCCCTCTTTTGCGCTTCCGGAGCCGGCGTTTCATCCCGAATCTGTTTTTGCTGACAGTCCCGGGGCCAGACTGGGGCCCCAGGTGGCAGGATCAACCAACATCGAATCGGAAAATCACATCGAACCCATCGGGCGCTGCATCGGCACGGAGTCGGAATCAAATCGGATCGGCTGCGCCAAGACGACATCGAATCGGATCGATCAGATCGAAATGGATCCTGCGGCGAAAAAGCCTCCCGTCGTGGTTCTGTTCACGACGCGAGAGCATGCCAGGGCCTGGCTCGGCGACTCCGAAAGGTTTGGTTTGCCAAGGGTGCGGTTTGCAACCCGCGTCTCGGGAGGCGGGCGAGATCCCCGCCGCGCCCCGACGAGGGCCCATCAGACCTTTGGCGCAACGAAATGACCCCTCTGAGCCCCAACGGCACCGGTCGCAAACCAAACCCCCGCATACCACACCCATTGTAGTCGCCGACTAGCGCTGCGGTGGCTCCTTCGCCCGACGGGGGCCCGCCACCCCCCCCGGGCCTGGAGGCGCGCGTCGATGTCGCATGCATCCACCGCCTCTGGGGGGCTGGCGGCGTCCACCTGCGCGCGTCCCCAACGGCCCTCGCCCCCCCCCCTCCACCACGTCGTCATGCTGCTTCTCGTTTCTAGCCCGACATCCTCCTACAACTGCTCCTTATCTTCCTCCTCCTGCTCCTCCTCCTCCTCCTCCTCCTCCTCCTGCTCCACCTCCTCCTCCTCCTCCTCATCATCCGCCTCCTCGTACTACTACTACTACTACTACTACTACTACTACTACTACTACTACTACTACTACTACTACTACTACTACTACTACTACTACTACTACTACTACTACTACTACTACTACTACTACTACTACTACTACTACTACTACTACTACTACTACTACTACTACTACTACTACTACTACTACTACTACTACTACTACTACTACTCCTACTACTACTACTACTACTACTACTACTACTACTACTACTACTACTACTAACTACTACTACTACCACTACAACTACTACTACTACTACTACGATCT